CTTTTTTCTGACTCGGGAAAAGGAAATTTGGGGTAAATGGGGACAGAGGGAGCTACTGCGGTTCTGGGAAATTTCCCATTTTTCAGAGGGGAAATGAGCCTGTTTTGGTAGAAGGAAGACATGGCTTGTTTAGCTTAGTAAAATGAAGACTGAGAAGAGATACAATTGCTCTCTCTGTGTTTATTAAGCAGAAGCTAAAAGAGATGTTTATGATTTCAATATAAGAATGATCAGGCATAAAGGATCTGTGAGTACATCTCCTAAACATGAAGAGAGGAGTGTTCCCAGCCCTCCCTTCTGTTTCAGTACGTGTGACTCCTGAGGGGGTGCAGGCAGGACAGGGCAGTCTGCCCAGCTGTCACATCCCAGCGGATGGACTGAGAGAGGAGGGGACAGTGGATCCTGAATGAGGCAGGGCACTGGTGTCATGGGGGGTGAAACTGTGGCTCTGGGTGGCCAGAGTGTGTGGTCACCGTGCTGGGACCAGAGCAAGGCAGAATCATAAAAATAAGCAGCTCTAGAAACAAGGCAGTGAAGCTTAAAGGCAGAGACAAATTAGCACCAGTGGAGACTGGAAACCTACTGCTATCAGTGAAGTAGCACTTCTTGCTGCTGCTGTGGTTTCTATGCAGGTTTTCAGGGAGAACTGGTGCTGACTTGCAGAAATACAGACGATGTAACAGAACTGAGAAACCTCCTGCTTTACAACTTGATGTTTTTCTTGAATGCATTCCTCATTGACTTTGCTCTCTGACTTAATATTCCTGTATTTTAAGATATTGCAATATACTTGATAAGACTAATGTGCTCTGAAACCGAGGCATTCCCTGATTGTAATTGATTACAGATGGGGAGCTTACCTTCCTCCTGGGTTGGTCTCTGAAACATTTTCTTAGTCTTAAAATATTCTACTTGGCTTCTCTTGAAGAGACAGAGGATGTTTTGTGCTTCCTCATGGAACTGTCAAGAAAAAAGGACAGGTGGTTTGGGGCTGCTGCATTTGCATAACCCTGAAAGGTGGCTTTAACCGATGATAAACTTTGATCTAATAACTGTGACCAAACGATCAGACTCACTGCCACCTCTCAGGGATGGACAGCTGTAACAGTGTGTGTGCTTGCAGAGCAACTCTCCTGCTGCTTCTCTCTCTGCTGAAAAGAGCAAACATTTGCTACTCAGAGAGAGACCCAAAGCAAAGGAAATCCCAGCCTGATCCCCAAAGAGCAGGAAGGGCTCTGGAGCCTCCTGAGATGTTCCTGTTGGAACTCCCAGAAGTTTACTACTCTGGCCCTGGGCTCAGATAAGCAGCCTATTTGTCTGCACAAATGGAAGCTGTACCAGACGCCCGCTCAATGTGAGCGGCAGAGTGGAGAGAGGGCAGAGCCAGTGTGCCAAGTTGCAGGAGCAGTAGTGGCGGTTACGTGCAGGGACAAGAAGGTGGAGGTGGCAGTGAATGCTCTGAGCTGCTCTGGAAGTACAGATTTATGAGAGGAGAGCTGGAGTTTTCTGCTTGTGATGCTGAGCTGTAGCTTCAGGACTTGGGGCAGGAGGCTTGTGAATCTGAACAATCCCACGTATAGGAATAGGAAATGAGGCAGTAACAGCTTGGTGTACACAGGGAGAGAGCGTCAAAGCAGTCAGAAGGGACAGGGAGCATCTTGCCATCACAGCCAAAGAGCATCCAGCATCTGAGGGCAGGAAAAGGCTTCTTTGCTGTAGTAGCAGGAATAAACCACCAGCATTTCAGCTGCTTCGTGTAATCATTCTCCAGGCATGGATCCTGCTCACAACCTTCTAGCTAAAATGTCAAAATGAGCACTCTTGACAGCACAACCCTGTCCACAGGGACACAGGTGGCCAGATCATTGCCTCTTTCTTACCCATCCTGCTGCAGCTCAGGATGCTGCTCAGCTGAGAGATTTCCAGGACAACTTGCCTGCAAGCTTGGTTACACCGAGCACCTTGGCTTACCCAGTGAGGGGTGGAAAAAGAGAACTTCCCTTTATAACAGCCATAATATGGTCCTGGCCCCAAAGCAAACCTGAGCCTACCAAAGCCTGGCTTTTCATGAGACCCTGCAGCCATCTCACAGAGCCTTCCTGCCTGCTGTGCCTGTCAGTGTTGCCCAGGCTGTGCTACCCAGCATGCTGTTTAGGGTGTATATACCCTAAAACCTGCTGGGGTTTATGGTGTATTTTGTTGCCTTTCCCCTATCGGGGCAGTGGGAGCGAGATGCGTGCCTCTGTCTGGCAGTTTTGAGAAATCTGTTCCTGCTCTTCTCCCCACTGCCGCCGCTGGTGCTGGAATGCAGCTTCCTTTGCCTGATTAGCTCTGTCTGTCAGTGGGGTGAGTCCCTCTCCTGTAATCAGTAACCGGAGCTGGTGTTGAAGACATGTCTCATCCCTCCTGCCTGCATTGCGGTCAGGCGTGGGGGGAGCAGCACCACACCAATTGCCCTGCTAGTGCTCTTTGGGAGGGAGGAAAGCCCGTCGTCACCAGGGAATCCTCTTTCTCTGTGGTCTTACATTCAGCCACAAAACATACTCTCGTACTGTGCGGACACTACTAAGATCCATGGATCAAGTGGGAGGCTGAATTCCCTTACATGTGGCTTTCTGCTTGAAAAGGAGTTTGTGGCAGTGTTCAGGATACAGAGCAGCCTGGATGCTGAACAGCCAGAGGTTAATAGGTCCTGCCAGCAGCCTTGCAGTCAGTGCTGGAGCCAGACCTAGCTATAATGTGAGAGACTGCAGTTGTATCACACGAAGTTTTATTATCCACCTCCTGTACTTAAATTCCTGCTCCACTTGTACCTTTCACAAAGCACATTTCCTCTTGCCATCAGATAAGTGACTTGAATGTGGCCTGAGGTGACATTTTAGGTGGTTTGAGTTTGCCTAGAAGTGGCTGCTTCCCGTTACTGTCTGTACCACAGGACATAAGCAGGTTGTCCTTGGTGAAACCAGTTGGCTTCTCATACAGTTTGATGAGGCTGAAAGACATGAAGGAGGGATCAGCTTGTGCTATGACATATCAGGCTCCCTGGTGCTCCAGATAGCTTTGAACAACAAGCCCAGCCAGATGTAAGTGAAGCACTGAGACCTGGTGTTCCCAGCGTGGCCTCTGCCAGCAGACAGCTGCTCGCTGCCTGTTGGCAGGAGCACGCACGCACACTTGGCTGCCTCTGCCGGTGCCGTGCGTTCCTAGCACGGGGCTGTGTTGTCAGACACTGCTGCATGGCGGGGGCCAATCCTGGGACCCCCAGCTGACACACCACATGTGGGACTGTTTCTAGCATGTTGGGGGATCCTGGCTCTCTGGCTCCAAGTGACAGGGACACAAAGCTCTGCCCTCCCAGCTCCCTCTGCTCTGTACCACCACCACTTCCACTGCTGCTTTCTGAAATTCATGCTTTTTTCCTTTTAAGAGCCAGCTTTTTTTCCCAATGCCAGTTTTCAGTTTCTGCTTTTATACTAGCAGAAGCCAAGCACTGCGTTGTTTCTGAGCAGCATCTTTCCAGTTTAGAGATGGAGTCTTCTGCATTTTCAGAGTCCCAAAGAGTACGGTTTAGCACATGTGGTCCTGTTGTTCCCAGTGCTGCTGCACCCTTTGCAGCATTCAGGTAACTGTCACTGGAAGCAGAGGAGATCAAAGACTTCTTTTGAACACAGGTTACAAGATCAGACCTGTCTGAACTTTCCTTAGCAGCTTTAACTGTCGTCATTCCTGTACACTGAGGGGATGGCAGTGACTTGTAAGTGCACAGTAGCAGCAAGAAAGGTATTTCCAAAATGTGCTGGAGATCCAGAGAGGGACCTTCCGTGTCTTGGACCTCTTGGCAACAGGCTGCACGCCATGACCAGGGCTGTCAGTGCCACACAGCAGTCATGGCTGAGAGCTGCTTGTCCTAGACTGGACAGGACTGGACAGGACAAGCAGTGGATGACAGGAGAACCATGTGCACGTTGTATGTGATGGATACAACCAGTGCTTTGCAGGCAGGTGTCCATAGTTTTGCAGAGGGTAAACCAGGTTTAGATATCTATGACAAAAGTGCCCTCAGAGGGCTCACTGGGCTGGTGCTTTGTTGGTTTGAGGCCGGCCATTCCAGGAAGGCTCCTGGAGAGTGATTTTATCATGGTTCAGATTGTATTTAGAGCTCAGATTACCAGCTGGCCAGAGCACTGTGCTGGAGACCTGGATTCATTTCCTGGGATTCTGGTCCTGTTGGGAGATTTTGGGGAAAGTTGCTTTCCCCTTGATCTCCCCACAAACCACTTTCTGCTTTCATATAAGTGGTTTAATACTACCAGCACAGGGGGGTGATGGCAGATGCTATGATCACAGCTAAAGCCTCCTGGAGGGAACACATCTGGGTGGGCTGACACCAGCTATAGCAATCATTGCTTTGAAATGCCTGTCTGGGAGATGTGACCATTTCACCCTTTGCCCTGTGTTAGTGTAACCTTTAGTGAGTGGTTTCTTCTTGATAGGGCTGGCAGAGGCAAGAGCTTTGATGGGGCTGATCTTGGGGCTTTTCAGCTGAATGCCCCCCCCAGACACCTCACTTGGCAGGGAGCTCTGTGTGGGTACAACATGACCTGCCTCCATGTTCTCAGCCAGCTTTGTTCCCCAGCATATACCACTGATAATGCTGTGCTGTTGGACTCTTGTGTGCAGTGGCTTGGGGAAGCACTATAACCAGCAACATCTGCCCAAGGTACCTGGGTTGCCCAGATCTCACCATGCCAAAAAAACCCTTCACCCAGCCCATGGGGAGACCTCCTACCTCAGGCACACAGGTCTGGCCCTGCTGGCTGTATTGGCTTTAGATAAGAGAAGGCCCTTGGTCTTCAAGAGCTCTTCTGGTCTGCAGCGGGGTCTGTCTCCCTGGCAGAAGCTCCTGCCCTGCCCCAGCTGGAGTCTCCTGAAATGTGGGGGCTGGGAGCATGCTTGGCCAGGGTACCTGCTGACCTCCTGTCTCTCCCATTTCCTTCCAGTCCTGGACACACAACATCCAGCGGGAGAAGGAGTTCCTGAGGAAGCTGGTGAAAGCCCGAGTCATCACTGACCTAACCAGTGGGATTTGAGTGGCTGCAGCCACTGCCTTCAAGGGAGGAGACAAAGACACACGCTGCAGCTCTGGGAGCAGGCACTGGCAGCCCCCCACAAGAATCCCACCTCACTGAAGACACACAGAGATGCCCAGGTGCTCTGGGAAGACCCTCTCGCATTGCCAGTCTACATGAGGGTTGCATCTGCTGCCTCCCGGCCTAGAGCTGGCAGGAGGTGGGCAAGGCGCTGAGTGGGCAGTTCTTGAACTCTGCATTGCAGACGGATCTTCTGTGTCCTGAACTGAACAACAAAGACTCAGGAGGGAGAAGAAAGGTTTGTGAATAAAACGATTTGTGCCAAATGGGAGGTGACGCTGCCCTGAGGCAGCAATGCCTGAATGTACAAAGTATTATTTTTTACAAGAAACTCTGCTGGATTCACACTAGAAATACCAAGGTGCAAGGCAAAGTCTGCTTGTGCACAGCCCCGCAAAAAGCCCGGCCTCTCCATGCTCCATCTGCATTGTCACCGGCCTCAGACCTTTCCCCAGGAAAACAAATCCGTCCAAAACTTCAGTGTCGTTGGTGCTGCTATAATTCAAAGGGAGAATAATGGCTTTCCCTCATTCTCCACTCAGAGCTTCTGGATGGAGATGAGTATGGGTTTGTTTTTCTGCACTTTTCCTTGCTTCCTGCATAGAAGCAGCAGCAGCCGCCACTTACTTGGCTGCGTTTTCCATAGCCATTCGTCCTGCTCTGCCTCTGCCCTGACCCCAAGGTGGAGCAGGGAGCTGATGGCTTCCTCTGCCTGCAGCAGACCCTCCCCACCTTCCTGCCTGTCGGGCGCTGCAGCGCCTGCCTCACTGTGCTCAAGGCTTTCAGGCCTCTTGGTTTGTGCCTGCTGTGCAGGGCCCCCATGGAGTCCGTGCAGATTGGTGTCACCGTTTCTGGACAGCATCTCACTTTGGTTCTGTGTGGGAGAGGAGTAATTTATCCTTTGGAAGGAGGTCAGATCTTGTGCGGAGATCTGAAGCTTTACAGTTTGAGAGCAGGCCGACGAAGATGTTTGTTTTATGTTCCAGACTTGATCATATTCCCTGTTTAAGCGACATGTGACCTCAGTGATGATGGAGCCTGCTAGCATGGGTTGGGGCCTGCTGGGACCCCTCACCCTCTGCCTTGGCCCCTGCTCACTTCATTTCCAAGCTCCTCCTGTGCTGCTCTAGCACTGCTGCTCCTCCTGCTCTCAGGAGCACGTCCCTTCCTTTGCCATCTTGGTCCCAAGATGCAATATTTGCACATTTTATTTGTATACGTATTTCAGAGGAGCTGGAACAAACTGAGTAATGTGGCTGAGTTCGAGGACAGCAGGGGTGGTCTTATCCACCTGGAGAGCGTGGGCAGAGGGGGGGATTGCCAGGGGAATGGTTACAGGTAGAAATTGGCCCCCACACTCTGCTAGCTTGAATCGGGCTGGACTGCACCCACGGGCACTGTCCTGAGCCAAGACTCTGTGTGTTGAGGCACCGGTGTGCAGCCAGCCAGTGGAGGGGGGTCCTGGGGGCATGCTGGCTGGGCTCATGGTCCTGGTGCTGCATCTGACGTAGCCCAAGGATTGCAGTCTGCCTTGCTCTGAGCTGAAGGGAGAACGTGGCCCTAACATGGACAAAAGATACTAAGAGCAGGGCTCGCATGGTTCCCCTGGGCCTCCTCTGCTCCCACGGACTTGCAGAGGGCTGTGGCTCTGGCGCTGAGACCCCAGAGGGGATGTGCAGGAGGGGCAGGCAGTGACCCAGGCATGGTCAGAGGAGCAAACCATAGGGAATGGTTTGAGACAAGGCACAGGCAGAGGCAGCTCTCAGGACATGGTGCTGCGTGCTGCTCACAGACCAGTGTGGGATGTGCTGCTCAGGAGCCTCTCCTGCATAGTGCACCCATAGCCAAGGAGCTTGCTCAGGGGCAAGTCCTGTCCAGCTTCTGGTCCTGGTTGCTGCTTGCCTTGTAGTCTGGGAGCAGTTCAAAGTTCCTGCCTCTTTCAGGCCGCAGAAGACAGATGCTGGGAGGCTCTCCCTTTCCTTTCCCCTTCCCATGTCCCTTACCCTGTCCCTTCCCTGGCCTCCCAGCCTTGCAGTCCCTGCTCCCCCAGTACATACCTCCCCACGGGATGCTCTGTGCAGTTTCTAGCATGGAGAGCTGGGGTTTCCAGCAGGTTTTTGAGCATATGCTATGGCAGATACACCTTTAAATATTCTCCCCAATTTGCTTTTCCCACTCAAGGCACACAAGGGACTGGATTTCCCTGGCTCTAGCCAGGCAACACTCTGTGGTTGCTGTGTGTCAGCCTGGACCTGGGACGTCATCTGTAGAGTCCCTGCCATGGTGGGGGTGCCTGGGCTGGACCTGGCCAAGGTTGTGGCTGGGGAAGGGTGAGCACCTGCCCTCCACCTTAGTGCTCAAAATGGGTCTTTAACCTGCTGCTGTGGGAGCCCTGGGGCAGTGATGGGGTGATGGGCCACATCCATATGCTACAGTGAGCTGAGATGCCAGGGAGTGGTTGGCTGCAGCCAGGAGGAGGGGGGTGAAGGGCTTTCTCTGTCTATGCTGGGCTCCTCTCCACCCCCCGGGGGAAGCACCCCCATGGACACATGTGATGGCATTCATTCAATTTAGTCCATTTAATTGAGCACTACAAAGCTATGGACCATTTTTATCTTCCAGCACGCTGACCTAGGTGCAAGGAGAGAGCACGGCCCCTGCTCTGCTTTCCCTGGTGTCCCAGTTCCCCACCACAGCCAGGAACAAGAAGCTGTCCCTGCAGACCAGGGAGGTGACTCCAAGGCCTTCCCTCCACCTTGGTGGGAGTCTCCAGGCAAAAGTGCCCAGGCTGAATGGTCAGTGCATGGTCCAGGGTGACTGTGGTGGGTCAGGACCACCTGCAAGCAGAAGGAAAGAGAGAATGGGGGGTTGTTTGGGGCCCAAAGGCTCCCCTCTAACTCACTGTCCCATTTGAGTTGGTGGGGCACGCACACCCATGGAGCAGCCCTGAGGCCAGGCGATGGGGCTGTGCACCCCAGCTCCAGGAGCAGTGCGCGGCGCTGGGTTTTGCTCCTGGATGCTGTTCCTTTGGCTGCCTCCCCGCGTGCACCTGCAGCCACCTCCCGCCCTCCGAAACGCTGCAGCCCTGCCAGCTCCGAGCGGTGTGCACGGGTCAGAGCAGGGTCAGTGGGACGGATGTGAGTCTTGGCCTCTCCCTCGCAGTGACTCACCTTTTCAGCTCAGAAGGGAGAGCCCAGGGGAATTCTCCACAGCCTAAATATAGAGCGGGGTTGCCTGGCACCTCTGACGCGCTGCGGTGCAGAAAGGCCACTCGGGTGGCAGGGAACCTGCCTAGAGAGAGGCCAGGAAAGTGCAGGGAGGTTGGGGAACCAGCTGCCGCAGCAGGATTGTGCTCTGGCTGATGCAGAGAACAGGTCTGGGATGTTGCAGGACAGTCAGCACATGCTGCTCCAGGGGAGAGGGGCTATCAGAGAGCTGCTGCTACGCTGACCACACCGTGAGCACAGGCTGCTCATGCATTTGTAGCATATGGTCCTCCCTAGTGCCCATCACCCTGGCATTGGGCTCCTCCACCAGCTCACACTCTTAGGGCTGGCCACGCAGTGGCCTTAAGCTCACACATGCCAAGGGGAGGCACCACAGCTGGGGAACACGAGGCAGCAGCAGGATCCTCTGCAGCCCAGAATCCCTCCACCTGGCATCTCTGGGCTTCCAGCATCTCCTTTTCCAAGGAGGGAGCAGCGGGGAGCCCCTGCCCTGCTGTGCTGCTTTACCCCTCAGTGCTGGAAGGTGTCAGGACAGGGCTGGCTGTATCAAATGGGGGCAGGCAGGCTAGGTACAGGCAGCACGGGGACAGGCAAGGGCTTCCAGACTGCCTGGCAGGGAGGTGTCCGCCACACTGAGCTCCAGCAGCACCAACACAGCGTGTGCCCTTGGTCCAGGCCTGTGTCACAGGCGGTGCTGGAGACGTGTCCTTCAGTATGGGTGGCCCGGGCCGCTACCCAGCCCCTCCGGGCACCGGCTCCTCGCGCAGCCTGCACAGGGACTCACTCCAAAGGCCAGTGCTCTCACCGGTACTGTACCCAAGCTGAGATGGAAGAACTCAATGAGTTTTTAAAACTAGTTTTAGTTTCTGCAATTTTTTTTTTAATTTACCCTCTAGGCAGGGAGGGCAAGAGTCTTGCAGGCTCCTCCAAGCCGGCTTATGTCACATCAATTCAGTCATATCACAGAAGCAATAAAGCTATCAAACAAGCTTGGCTGGCCTCTTTCTTCTGCTGTCTTTGGCCTTTTGTAGGGGTGGCAGAGGGATTCCCCTGCTCAGGCTGGCCCCAGCCTGGTTTCACTGCTGACGTAACCCAGAGGCAGCTGCCGGGAGCTGCAGCCGATGCCTTTGGCCTGGCGCTGGGACAGGAGAGGGCTGTGCTTCTCCTTGCAGGTGACCGCAAGGGTGGGAGAGGGTCTCACAGGTTGGGTGCGTGCCATGGCGGGGGGCAGAGGGGTGGGGACTCCCTGACAGCAGGGTGGCTTCCCGCCGAGGGTCACAGCAGCAATCAGGCTGGGTGGGGCCCCCACAAAGGCGGGTGTCCAGCCAAGTGACCTTCTCACTGCAGCGACCAGGAAGGAAGCTGTTTAGGAAGCCGGGGGCTGAGGCTGTGACTGGCTCTGACACGTGCCAGGTCCCAGTGGGGGGAGCGTAACCCCTGCAGCAAACCCCAGCCACGTCACGGGATGAGTTGGTTACAGTCCCCTCGCCTGGGGGAACGAGGCAAACTGCTTCCAGGTAGGTGGCCAGTCTGACAGACCTGCCAGCTCCTAAACGCGAGGGATGTCTTCCTGCCACCACCGATGGGACACGGCAGAGGCAACCGCTCGACCCTCCCTGGTGTGTGCCTGCAAGTTCCAGATCCGTCCCAGAAAGGAAATGCTGGAGCTGCTCAAACCTTCCTGCCCTGTGCTCTTCCCAGTCCTTGAAGAGCAGGGCCACTGCTGCCATCGGGCTAGGCCAGCCCCAGGGGTGGCTCGTGCCCCATGCTGGCCCTAGGAGGACTGCAGAGAGGGAGAGCACAGAGCCTGGCACTGGGGCACGTGGGGACAGTGCAAGGTTCAGGTCAGTGGAGACAGGGACACTTGTTCTGGAGCAGGGGTCCCTGAAAGAGCCACATCACCACCGACGTGATGATGATGCAACTGGTAAGTCCTTCTGCATCACCACTCTCCCACATGAATTTTGTCACACCCAGACATGGCCTCGCGCAAGCATGGCAGCAGCCAATGGCATGCTCAGTCCTGCTCTGGCTGGGCTACATTACCCCCATCCCACCTCACACAAGGGTGGCACCTTCAGGAACAGATGTTACAGCGGGCCTTGGCCCCACAGGGCTCATTCTATACCAGACAAGGGACACCCCAGCCCCAGGGGTGCAGGAGCACAGGCTGATGCAGGTGGTGCCTTGGGAGGCACGGAGCCAGCAGCAGCCAGGGAGCAGATCACCCATCTGTCTGGAGAGCTGTGGGGTGGGGGACACTGCCCTGCACCCCAGCACCCTGTGGATCCCAGCCCATGCTCGGCACTCCCCAGGGCAGAGCTGATACTCGTGGGAGCCCAAGGGAAGAGAGCAGTGCCTGGATTGAGGCATGGTGCTGGGGTGTGCCACCTTCTGCCCCCGTGATCTCAGGGGGACAGGGAGGAGGTGCTGCTGGCAGGACATCAGCAGGGCTGACAGCAGCACTGGAGTCACATCTGCCAAGACCAGGACCAGGGGCAGAGGAGGGAGCCAAGGCCCCAAGGTGTCTGGGGTGGCGTCCACAAAGAGGGTACAGCTTGAAGAGGACAGAGGCCAAACTTTGCCCAGCCACCCATTTCACAGGACTGGGGACACTGTGAGCCCACCTGTATGGAGTACCCTGGATATCCCCCTGTGCCCCCCACACAGCCCCCTGCCCACCACCAGCATCACATCCCATGCAGCTCTCAGCTGGGCCCTGGGGACATGGGGATCAGCCCAACCCACAGAGAAGGTGGAAGGGGATGGGGTAACCCCTGGGGTGAGTCAGCACGTGGGGCTGTCTCCAAGCCCCGAGGACTGTTGGTGCGGGAGGGACCCTTCCCCTCCACTGACAGCCCCTCCTGAGCAACCCACCCTGCATGGGCAGGGCTGTGGCCAGTCCCAGCCCCATGGGAACAGCCAGGCAACCTGGAGCAGGACTTGCCACTGGCATGGAAACTTTCCAGGTGGGCAGCCCCATTAATCTGCAGCCCTGCCAAGAAGAGAAACCTGTTCCCTGTCCCCTGTCCCCTGCCCACTGCTGATTTCCTCCCCCGGGGATGCTCCTGAGCCTCCAATCCTTTGTTGGGCCAAGGCACCCAGGGCATCACCCCTGCCCGCTCCTGTGAGGGCATCACAGATAGAAGCAACCTCAGGCCGTGGTCGTGGGGCAGCGCAGCCCCACGGCAGAGCCCACCCTCCCACGCAGTCCCACTGGCAGGCGTGAAGCCACCCACAGCCACAAGCTTGGCCAAGGTGCCTGTGCTGGGGACAGAGGGGGACCAGCGCCACATGGTGCCACGCCAGGGCAGGGGCTGCGTGCCACCTCCACCGTCCCTGCTAGCAGTGGCGGGGACAGCTTAGCTGGTGCCGCCTGTGTCAGCACATTCCCTGGCAGGTGATGCTGCAGGAGGGACGCAGGAGTTGTCATCCTCGCGCTGGATAATCCAACGAGATGAGAGACAAGACGAGGCAGCCGGCTCCACCGGTGGCTCGCACACATCGTCTGGCCCTTCCCACCGCAGGACCATGGGGTCTGGGCTGCCATGGGGCGAGGAGGCGGTTAACGCCACGCGGGGGGCCCAGGTGCCGGGGCAGACCCCATGGG